ATTCTCCCCTTGTACTTGGCCTTAGGCCACAGCTGGAGTACTGCATCCAGTTTTGGGCTCCACAATTCAAAAAGTATGTGGAGAAGCTTGAGAGAGTCCAGAGAAGAGCCATGCGCATGATCAGAGGTCAGGGAAGCAGACCCTACGATGACAGGCTGAGAGCCCTTGGGCTCTTTAGCCTGGAAAAGCGCAGGCTCAGGGGTGATCTGATGGCCAACTACAAGTGATGACAACTAGGTCGAATGGTCATAAACTACTACAAGACCGTTTCAGGCTGGACATAAGGAAGAATTTCTTTACTGTCCGAGCCCCCAAGGTCTGGAACAGCCTGCCACCGGAGGTGGTTCAAGCGCCTTCATTGAACACCTTCAAGATGAAACTGGATGCTTATCTTGCTGGGATCCTATGACCCCAGCTGACTTCCTGCCCTTTGGGCAGGGGGCTGGACTCGATCTTCCGAGGTCCCTTCCAGCCCTAATGTCTATGAAATCTATGATTACTACATTCAGCCAGGCTTATCTTAAACCAGTTTTGGCCATTTTGAAATTGGTGTAGATGCACTGAACTTATGTTCTTTTACAGGTTTAAACCAGTTTCTGATCACTTAAACCAGTTTATGTGTACCTTCTGTCCCTAGCCAAAAGGTTACGGTAAAGGTTACAGGAGGAGCGAAGGAGGAGGCGTGGGCTGATGGGGGACAGGGGAAAGGGAAATGGCCTTGCCCAAATGGGCTGCCACAGAGGGAAGGGGCATGGCCAGGCCCTGATCTGGCTGTAAGGGTGGAGGGTGTGGCAGGCCGGTCGGGGGTGCTCCTGTACTGAGCTGCCCACCTCGCTGCACCTGGCCAAAAACCAGGCTTTGGATGCCTCCCCAGGGGTGCCAGCTTATGACCAGCCCCCTTCCTGGAACACACACACAAGCCTGGGGTACCTCTGCCACCACCCGGACTCATGTCTTTGGGCTCTGTGCCACCCAGGATACACAGACCCTGTAGACCTTGGGATTTTGGGGTGCTTCTATTAGCCTGAAGCATTCACCAGCAGCCTCCCTTGTAGGAGGAACTAAAATAGCCGAGCCCACCTTAGCCGGTCCCTTCCTTCTTAAGCATACACAATGAGGTGTGCTAAAACAGATAGATTTATTGATCAAAGAGGGATAGGTTTGGGAAGGAATGCCAGTAGCAAAATATAGAAAGAAAACCAACCTTGAGCAAATCTAGGTGGCTTGTCAGCCTTTTGATATGCAACTAGAGTACATTAAACTAAACTTCTGGTTAGGTTTCTGCTCAGTCACTGACTTCCGCATCCTGTGTGAGAGAGAGCTGCAGAGGTCCACGCTTCTGTGTGTATGTTCTAAAATGTCAAACTTCCTTCTTCCTGGAGAGACTCTCTTAAATAGCCCTCCTGACCATACCACCTGGACCCAGTCAGGGACAGGTGTTATTTGATGCCGGCCAATCAGTTTGAAAAACATCACAGTTACTTACTGGAGCGACATTGGCTTAAGCCCCTGCCCCCATGTCATGAGGGCAGAGCTTAGAACAAAAGAGAGAGGCTAGATCGGGGGTGGGCAAAATGCAGCCCGTGGGCTGGATGCAGCCCACCAGGCCATTCTATCTGGCCCCCGGGGCCCCTAAAAAATGTAGAAAATTAATATTTATCTGCCCCTGGCTGCCTCTCATTTGGCCCTTGATGGCTTGCCAAAACTCAGTAAGTGGCCTTCCACCCAAAATAATTGCCCGCCCCAGGGCTAGATCCATCCCCTCACCTGAGGTCAGGCTCCATGGGCTGCATTTGTCCCATGGGCCAGGGTTTCAGCACCCCTGCTCTAAGATAATAGGAAAGAACCTACAAAAAAACACTAGTCATGGGGTAGAAAGTCGCAGCTAAAGTAGCCCTGGAATCAGGGTGATTCTGGCTTAACAGGAGACCCTTCAAGCTTTCATACAGGGTATAGACACACCTATGCTAAAGCTCTGCTGTGCTGGTATTGTTTCTTCTTCACAGGCGCAGCGTTATTGTTGGTGCTGGGTACATTGCTGTGGAGATTGCTGGAATCCTTTCTACACTGGGCTCGGAGTCATCCCTACTGATCCGTCATGACAAGGTATGGTATCCAGCCCTGTTTCTATCCAGTGAACCAACTGTCAAGTAAGAATAACAACTATGTGCTGCACTTGTGCTCTTTTTGCTTCTTAGAGTTTCAGGTTTTTTTCCTCCTTTCTCTTGGATTTTACTTTAGACATGACATGCCTTTTATTTTTAATCTACCCTGTTTTTCCTGAAAGTCTTGTTGGGACTACTGGGAGAGGTACATTGTTTGTGCTTGCACTATATGGAAGGACTTTGGAGCATTACATTTACAGACTTTTCCTTACAAATATTCATTAGGTACTAGAGTTAAATAGATATTAACAAAGTAAAGAGTGCTAACCATCTGACTACAATTCCCCTTCTCTGTCAGCCACTCCATGTTTGTTTCTTTCATTCTTGTGATCTTATTCTGCTATATTTTAAAAAAATATGCTTTCTACCATCTTAAATAGGTGGGTTTACAAATTGCTAACTTACATTAGCAGTTGCTCCCTGTACAGGCACGCTCCAGTTTGAGTATTTTTTTATTTATTTAGCTTAACAGTGCCCACATATCAAGCCACATGTCAAGTCTGTGGGTGAGGGGAAGGGATATGTCTGTCAAATTATGAGTTCCATTTTGTTTTGTGGATTTATAGTTGTAATCATCCTTCTCCATTGTGTAGCACAGACTGTCTAGTAAGAGAGAGCAATTACAGGCTATCAACACTGAACAAATTCTGATGACTGAAACAATGAAGTTCTACTAGTTGGGCTGTTAAGTTTGAATGGGTTGTCTTCACAGCAGCTGATAGGGAGAAATGTTAGGTTTGGGAAGGGATCAGAAAAATTCCCTAGTGGAAATTCATGGGCATGAGAAGTGGCAGAAGGAGGTTTCTCTGTGTGATGGACAGCTGTTCTATCAGCAGAAGCCAGATAGCTAAGGAGTTGGGCAAACCCATGACACTCAGATGTTCAGATCAGCTTGAGGGGGGATTATGTTCAGGTACTTGTTTGAGAGTTAGTATTGAACGAATGATAAATTCCTTTCCTAAACTTGTGCTTCCTTCTCATATTGCCAGATGATTCCTGAAGAATTTAACAAAAATGTCAGGGCAGAGTCTGGGAAATCATGCATTGGCAAATAGGAGCTCAGTTAGGCTATGGCACTGATTATTGTGTGTAAGGGCCTGGCTGGGGGGTCTTGGCACTGAGGGAGTCTGAACATGCCCTGAGTCATGCTCTAAATGCAGAACTTCACCAAGAAGGCTGCTTCCAGGCTTGTCCACACTTGTAACAAAACAGTTACAAAACCTGACTTGGCTACAACACTGGTCTAATACAGCTACTCCTCCCTTAACATTGTAATTGTGTTCTTGAAAAATGTGACTTTAAGCAAAACAATGTTAAGCAAATCCAATTATGTCGTAATTAGTTACTTATTAGCAGGCAGGGGCCAGACAACGTTATAACCGAACATTGCAAGACTTTAAACGAGTATGTTCTCTAATAGATCAGCAATGTAATAACAAAACAACGTTAACCAAGACGACGTTAGGTGAGGAGTACCTGTACATTGAAACATTGTCCTGGGGAACCAGTCAGCAGGCAGTCCCTGTGGCCTGCTGTCAGGCCTAGATTCTGATCTGCCCCTGGGGTGAAAAGGGCATCTAGATGACTTATTTAAGGAATTGTTTACGAGTACTATTTATAGTAAAGCCAGCCCACGTTGAGCCCCCAAAGTTCACCCCACTAGAACTGCAGGCTAGAACTTAGCCTGCTTAGCTTCATACAATCATAGAAATTAAGGGCTGGAAGGGACCTCGAAATACTGCTGAAATCAAGTGATCCCAGCAAGGTGTCTGTCCAGTCTCCTCTTGAAGACTTCCAAGGTTGGAGACTGCACCACCTCCTTGGGAAATCTGTTCCAGATTCTGGTCACTCTTACCATAGACAAGTTCTTCTTATGTCCAACCTGAAACCATCCTCTAACAGTTTATGGCCATTGCTCCTTTGTCCTCTCCTGAGGCACCCTAGTGAACAGTTTTTCTCCCAGCTCCCAATTATTCACCCCTTACATACTTATAGATGGCCACCAAGTCCCCCCTCAGTCTTCTCCCCTAGGCTGAAGAGTCTCAGTACCCTTAGTCTTTCCTCATAAGGTTTGTCCTCTAGGCCCTTAATTATTTTTGTGGCCCTTCTCTGGACCCTTTCAAGATTCTCCATGTCTTTTTTGAAGTGAGGCACTTGGAACTGGACACAGTACTCTAGCTTGGGTCTTGCCAACACTGAATAGAGAGGAAGTATCACTTCCTTAGCTCTGCTCACAATGCATCGGCTAATGCATCCCACTATGCTATTAGCTCTGTTGCATGTGCATCTATGCATGCAAATGCAAGTCGCAAATTTACTTGAGATTAGTAATGGCGCAGTAGCACTCGTGTAGGCGCCTGACTGCGAATAAATCTGCTCCTGGTCAGCCATCTGCCAGGGGGTAGGAAATTGCTCCCTACTCCCAGGAGCTGCCTGCTGCCAGGGCAGGCTCCACCTCAGGAGTCTGGGTGAGGATTGTCACGGAACAGGCACTGGGAGCTCCCTGCTGGCGGGGGCTGGGGAGCCTATTCCCTGCCCTGCTCCATGAGCATGGAGCTGGGTGGGGAACAACCTCCTCAGCCTGTTCCCCACCCATTTCCACACTCACGGAGTGGGGAACAAGCTCTCCACCCTGCCCCCCGCAATCGTGGCTCGAGGGCTGGGAGCTGTCCTGGTCAGGGGCAGGTTCCAGGCTTGGGCCCTGATTGGGTGATCTAGGTACAGGGCTTGGAAAGAGCTGCAGGGTTGGGGTAGGTCCCAGCCCCCTGCCCTGATCTGCCAGTGGGGCAGCTAGCAGTGACCTTTGAAAGAAGGGGGATGAACAGAATCACAGAAACATTACCTTAATTGTCTTGTCTTGTTTTGTCTTGTCTTTAGAGAAAATGGGATCAGAAATTTAGAAAAGGTAGCAATTGTAAAGATACAGAACAAAAGTTTTAACTTTGCTCCAAATGCCTTGGAAGAACTATGTTCCAGCTTCTGTGATGGCATTGTATTCAGTTAGAGCAGAACCAGTACATGTCTACTGCCACTTATGAGACAGAAAGATTAGATTGTGCACAAAGGACTTGCCCAGTGGGAAATGGAACATTTTGGGGAACAATTGCATGTGGACTTACCTATAATGTGTACTTTTGAAAAGTCACTCATGCAGTGAAGTATATACCTTTGAGTTCATATTTTCTTTGCTTAATCTCAAAAGAGTAAGCATATTCTGTTTGATCAAATACAAGTTGCCATTACTAGTAGGTAGGTACAAAGTCACAAACATTATAGACCAGCACCATGACTTCTCCTTTGAATGTTTTGTTTGTATGAATGTTCCCACTGTGGTCATACTGTGCAATTCAAGCACTAGATCCCAGAGATTTTTGTCTTAGCCAGTACCCTAACTGTGTGCACTATGGGTGCAGTCTTACAGTCATAGTTCATTTAGGACTCCAAGATTCCCTTCCAGCTGAACTAGGCACTCTTTTCGAGCCCCCCACAGTGAACATCTGTGTATAGACAAGAACTTTAAAGAAGAAAGAAATTACTTACTAGTGACTGGAGTTCTTTTAAGCTGTGTTGACTTTGTGTATATTACATATCTTTCTTTCCATCTCCTTTGGAATCTTTGATATTTTTGGGCTGCTGACAGACATGGCAGGGGGAGGAAACGGTGCTTTACCGGAAGAGGAACTGCATCAGTTTGACCCGGCTCCCCAGTGGCTGTGTAGATCATGCTTCAGTGGGGCTTTTTTGGCACTTTTATCTTATAGCTGACTGAATCAGCTATTAGATATGTGGCAAAAAGACCCGCTGAAGCCACGTGATCTGTACAGATGCTGGGCGTGTCAGGTCAAACTAGCACAATGCCTTTTTCTGGGCATGTGCTGTGCTCGGTGTGGGGGTGCATTGAGCTGAAAGTAAAGGGCCATTTTTTCCCCCTGCATCTGCCAGCAGCCTTGGATTCTGCAAGTTGGGAGGAAATAGAGGTGTGGGAAGCATGCCCACCCTTTGTCTTCAGCACTGAACACAAAGACAAGTGCAGGAACACTACATAGGTACTCCTAGGGCAAAAAATATTTAAGCTTGAATGCTTGAGGTGCATGTGCTCCCAAAATGATGGGGTGTATATGGACAGCATATTTCAGAGAATTCTGGTTCTTTTGGTTTTTTGGATGCAACAGAACAATATAAAGAGAGAAAGATGAGGTGACCAGGGATGTACCATTCAGTCAGACCCACTGTTTATGGCATAAGATCTTGATTGATTATATGGCTTTCTATGCAGGTACTGAGAACTTTTGACTCCATGATCAGTTCAAACTGCACACAAGAACTGGAAAATGTTGGCATAAACATCTGGAAGAATTCACTGGTACAGTATAACCACACGTGCACGTTCAACTTTGACCTGTGGCTCTGAGGGTCTCTCTTATGGCACTGTGATCTGATCAGCTTTTTTGATTCACTTTTGCTGAATTCTGTGGCTTTCCTCAAGAGCATTCCTGTGGTGTATGATTGTGGGCATAGTCTGTACATTACAGCACTAGTGTCAGAGATTCAGTCTCTTTGAGGATCTGCTTTTCATTCCCTCCTACATAATTCCACAGTGGTTCTTATAACTGGCTTATTTTAATACAAGATGGGGGAGGAGACATCATTGGATATGCAGTGAAAAAATGCCTATTTTGAGTATTTTGTATTTATGCCATATGTACAGTTCATGTATACCTCATGTCAGTCATATGTATGCCCTATGTACAATTCATGCATGTCTCATCAGTTGGTCTGGAGCTTTCTGGCCAAGAGCAGATATTGAAGATACAGTGCATAGACTTCCCTTTTGGTCTGACAACCAAGAACATACAGAGTAGTACAATCTCAGTTCCCCCAGTTCTCTGCCGCCCAAGTGGCAGTGAATGTTAATTTAGCAGCATTAATTGTGCCCCTCTAGCAGATCTTCCTGAGGAAAAAGCCTACTCATTTGTATTGTATTGCTTGACAGTGTTGCTTATTGTTTGAACAGGAACTTGCAGAACAAAAAATCATCCACAAATTGGACTTTAAGTATGGTGTAAATAGGGACTATGAATATTTATCTCACTAACTGGATTAGTTTTTGTGACCCCTTTGTTCCTATAGGTTTGCTGCCTGTTTGCTTGTCTCTACTAGCACTGCCTTCTATACCCCCATCTCTTTCTCCCTCTCTGTCTCCCCCCACCCCAATCTCCTGAGCTTGACCAGGAGTTTGCCCAGGAACTGGCTGAGGCAGCTTGCTCCAGGACCATGGTTGTCATGGGTGACTTCAATTACCCAGACATCTCGTGGGAGGATCGCTCAGCAAAATCTGAGCAGTCGCAGAGCTTCCTCTCGTGCGTGGATGACCTCTACCTGACTCAAGAAGTCTATGGGCCAACGAGAGGCAAAGCGCTGCTCAATCTGGTACTGGCTACTGGGGATGACCTAGTCGGCGACCTAGTGATCGATGGGAAGCTGGGTGACAGCGACCACGAGCTGATCACCTTCACCATCCGCCGAAAAGCTGGCAAGTTGGCAAATATGCTGAGGAAAATGTAATGACCAGCAAACCTGAGGCTGAGGCAGCCCAACATTTTATCTCCTGAGTCTAATTTCAAGTTTTCTGACATCTCTTAATTGACTTCAGTGCATGCATTTGATGGCATCACTTTAGTTTTCCAGAAATGCTTGCACAGTTTGGAGGGGGAAAAGAAACCATTTTCTGAGTGGATACCAGCACTGCTGTAACTATCAGTAGTAGATTCATGGCAGAACATGCTCAGATTCCCAGCAACACTGAAACCAACCACAATTTTTTCTTTGAGGTTTGAGATGGTTTGGACTATTATTCTTCTGAAGAGTAGAAAATAGGAGGATACTTTTAACCTATTAAATAGGTACTTTGCGTCAGTCTTTCATCAGTCCCATGGGACGCCCATGCCCGCTACAGGGCCGGGAAGTCCGGGTGAGGGTGATCCCCTGCCCTCCATTAATGCTGACTTTCTGAAGGAACATCTTGAGAAGCTGGATACCTTCAAGTCAGCTGGCCCTGACAATCTTCACCCCAGGGTACTCAAGGAGCTGGCGAGCATCATAGCCCAGCCTCTAGCACGGATCTTTGAAAACTCTTGGCGCTCTGGTGTAGTGCCCGAAGACTGGAAGAAGGCCAATGTGGTGCCTATCTTCAAGAAAGGGAGGAAAGTGGATCCGGCTAACTATAGGCCCATCAGCCTGACTTCTATCCCGGGGAAGATCTTAGAAAAGTTTATTAAAGAGGCCATCCTTAATGGACTGGCCGACGCCAACATCTTAAGGGATAGCCAGCACGGGTTTGTTGCGGGTAGGTCTTGCTTGACCAATCTCATTTCCTTCTACGACCAGGTGACCTATCACCTGGACAAGGGAGAAGAGATTGATGTCATATATCTTGACTTCAAAAAAGCCTTCGATCTGGTGTCCCATGATCGCCTCTTGGAGAAACTGGCCAATTGTCGCCTTGGGTCCTCCACGATCCGCTGGCTGGAAAATTGGCTCCGGGGTCGGACCCAGAGGGTAGTAATCGATGGAAGTCACTCATCGTGGTGTCCTGTGACCAGTGGGGTCCCCCAAGGCTCTGTCCTTGGACCCATACTGTTCAACATCTTCATTAATGATGTGGACACTGGAGTCAGAAGCGGACTGGCCAAGTTCGCCGATGACACCAAACTTTGGGGCAAAGCATCCACACCAGAAGACAGGCAGGTTATCCAGGCTGACCTGGACAGGCTCAGCAAGTGGGGGGATGAGAATCTGATGGGGTTCAATGCTGATAAATGCAAGGTTCTCCACCTTGGGAAGAAAAACCCTCAGCATCCTTATAGGCTCAGCAGTGCTATGTTGGCTAGCACTATGGAAGAAAGAGACTTGGGGGTCATCATTGACCACGAGATGAACATGAGCCTGCAATGCGATGCGGCGGCTAGTAAAGCGACCAAAACGCTGGCTTTCATCCATAGATGCTTCTCAAGCAAATCCCGGGACGTCATTCTCCCCCTGTACTCGGCCTTAGTGAGGCCGCAGCTGGAGTACTGTGTCCAGTTTTGGGCTCCACAATTCAAAAAGGATGTGGAGAAGCTTGAGAGAGTCCAGAGAAGAGCCACGCGCATGATCAGAGGTCAGGGAAGCAGACCCTACGATGACAGGCTGAGAGCCCTGGGGCTCTTTAGCCTGGAAAAGCGCAGGCTCAGGGGTGATCTGATGGCCACCTACAAGTTTATCAGGGGTGACCACCAGTATCTGGGGGAACGTTTGTTCACCAGAGCGCCCCAAGGGATGATGAGGTCGAATGGTCACAAACTACTTCAAGATTGTTTCAGGCTAGTCATAAGGAAGAATTTCTTTGCTGTCCGAGCCCCCAAGGTCTGGAACAGCCTGCCACCGGAGGTGGTTCAAGCGCCTTCATTGAACACCTTCAAGATGAAACTGGATGCTTATCTTGCTGGGATCCTATGACCCCAGCTGACTTCCTGCCCTTTGGGCGGGGGGCTGGACTCGATCTTCCGAGGTCCCTTCCAGCCCTGATGTCTATGAAATCTTGTCTTTTGTATTCTAATTTTTTTCTTTTCTTTCTTTTCACATCCTGTCAAAGCATCTGATGAAGTGAACTTCAGCTCATGAAAGCTTGTGCTCTCTCTATATATCTTATTCTATAAAGACTGGAATGATCTAGTTGGGAATGGTCCTGCTTTGAGCATGGGATTGAACTAAATGACCTCCTGAGGTTCCTTCCAACCCCAATTTTCTAAGGTGCATATCTACCCTGCCTTCTGCATATTGTTTTTGCCATGTTGGCAGCATGCTGTTCTAAAGCATCTCTTTCCCACCTCAAGACCAAGCATTTGATCTCTGGCTTCAAGCCCTGCCTGTTTTTTTTAAAGGCCCTCTATCCCTCATGGGCAGCTGTAACACAGTCTAGTTTTAGCTCCTATCCCAGAAAAGGATTTATTTTGTTGGGCCTTATCCACTGGGACCTGCTGTGGTAGGTGTAGGGGCCAAGTGTTGCATTTGTTGGTGCAGTTAATAAAGGTGATTTCTCACATGCCTTAGTTACTCTACAGCAGGGGTGGGCAAAATGCGGCCTGCAGGCCAGATGTGAGCTGCCAGGCCATTCTATCTGGCCTGTGGGGCCCCTAAAAATTTAGAAAATTAATATTTATCTGCCCCTGACTGCCTGTCGTGCGGCCCTTGATGGCTTGCCAAAACTCAGTAAGCAGCCCTCCACCTGAAATAATTGCCCACCCCTCCTCCACAGTGAGCACATCTACACAAGATGCTGACTGTGAAGTATATCAAGCTACTACACAATAGCATCATGTGGCAAAAACTGACACAATGCTGCTGGGCAGTAGTATTAGGCTACTGTGCAGTAGTGTCACAAAAGGGCATTCTCTGGCACTACTGTGCAGTAACTCAGGTTACTGCACATTTTATTTAGTACTTGTTTACACAAGTACTAAACAAATGCACAGTAACGACTGTACAGTAGCGTCTTGTGAAGACATGCCTGATGTGCAGCACTGACTTCAGTGCTAGAGTGACCATAGCCTAGGAAGTTTGTGTTGAGTATTAATATATTCCCCACTTTTTATGGATGGGGAAACTGAGACAGACCTGCCCAAAGCTATATTGTAACAGGCAAGGACCCCAGCGGTGGCCATGATGCCCCCTGGTGGTCACCCTGCTTCTGCTATGTCCTTGGTCCCTTCAGCACTCCTCTTCTCCTTTCCTGCCACACCTTGATGGCTGCCCTTGGGATCTCTGAGTGAGATTTCATTCACTCCTGAGATTTGGTCTCATTACTCAGTGCCTTAAGGGCTTAGTACACGGCTCCAACTGCCCCTTACACCACATTCATGCCTCACAGATATCACTGCACAATCACTCTCTTGTTGGGGCCTTGGCCTTTTCATCTTCTACCACCCGTTTTCTCTGGCTGCAAGCCTTCAGCCCTGGCCCACTGATTTGGGTCGAGCTCTCCTGGCCTCAGCCCTTAATCATAAGTATTTATGGGCCTCCAGCCCCTGTATCTTTTACTCTGGGCCCCTGGCTCCAGTCTCAGACCCTCCTGGGTCCCAGGTCCTGATTTCTGCCCTTCTCAGGCCTCTGGCCCTGGCCTTTGCTCCTCCTGGGCTGCTGGACCCCTGGCCCTGTCTGGCTTTCACCAACTCCGGTCCTCTGTCTAGGCCTGGTCTGTTTCTTGAGCCCCTGCCCCAGGCCCTGGTGGGGCTGTGCTTGGAAGTGCAAGGGTGTGGGGTGCAGTCTGGTCAGGATTTCGAGTGGCATGAAGTACCTTGCAGGTGAGCAGCCAGGTGCTTCTGCATGCCTGGCATGGAGCCCCACTCCCACTGACTTGTGAGAACATGGTGGGTGGGGAGCTGGGGGCAGTATCTTGGATTTTCCGGATGATGTCCCAGATTTATGGGATTTCCATATGGTCAGCCTATCTATAATGGAAAATGTTCAGCAGTTTCAGTGTTGCTACCAGCTTAAGTTGTTATAAAAAGTTAAGTGTTTTTAGTAATCTTTGTCAAAGCTCACATATTCTAAAATTTTGGTGCATGAGAACAAACAGGCTTTGGAATTACAGCCTTGCAGTTGGAGTTTGCTCTAGTGACAAAGACCTGGGTTGGATAATCCTTTTGTTAAATAAATTCTAAACCAGTTGTGATTACAACAACTCTTTGCAAAAGTCACACTTTTAATCTTTAGTTCTACAATTTGTGGTTATCAATAGGTCAAATCGGTCACAAAATCCCCTTCAGGTTTGCTGGAGGTAAAAGTGATGTCCTCAGTTCCTGGTCAAAAACCCACTTTTGGCATGATTAAGGATGTTGACTGTCTTTTATGGGCCATTGGACGAGACCCAAATACTGAAAAGCTTTGTCTAGATGAAATGGTGAGATGAAAACATTTTTATTTCCTGGTACTTATTGGAATGTGTGTTGCATCTGTGTTCTGCACATACAATTCCAGACCTGCCCTGAGCCATGTGGGAGGAGGTCACTGGGATTGCTTGTTCCCTAATGGCAGGATCACAACTGAAATTACAGTGCATGTTATTGTATTTCACTTACAAATGACACGCCCCCATTCCCACAAAATTAGTTATCTAAAATTGGAGTTTTAGTTTTGAAGCAAGGAAGCTGATTTCCATGCTAGAATGGAAGAACTAGAATGCTGGAATGACTGTTAGGGACTGTGCTTCCTTCCTGGTTGCATGCAGGAGGGACAGAGTCCAGTTTTCGCCTTGTTTCTTCAATTAAGCAGCAGCTGTGACATTGAGAGCAACTTTTGGCTAGTCACTGTGTGCGTCTACATGTGCAATCAATGCAACTGAATAAACTCTAGCGCAATTTGATCCAAAGTAAACTAATCTGGATGTCACTGTTTACATGTGCATTTCAGCACAATAATTTATTCCGCCATTGGATATTTCTTGTGTCTGACGGGACTATCCGACGGCACAGTAAACTAGTCTACACCAGACTAATTGCTATGCGTGTATAGATGGTGATGCTTTACCATGCAGTAAATTAGTCTAGTCTACTGCACAGTAAAGCACATGTATAGACATGCCCACTGGGAACTGGACTCCACTCCTCCTACATTTGGCTGGGAGCAGTCAGCCATGCTATGGCATGTAAATCTCTAGAGAAAAGATGCCACCATTCTGCCTTCCTTAAACAAGGTGCATGTCTTATTTTGTGGGGGAGATATGCAGGAAAACATGGTATATAGGAAACTGCATAATTTTGTGAAAGTGAAAAACCCTTGGGTAGAATGAGGGTAGCCTGAAAATATATTTCATGCACAAAGATATTTAAGTTCTTACTACTATCCTCAAGCACTAGCTGGAGACTGGGTAGAACCCTAACTCAGTTTACATAGTTCAATTCAGTGCTTCTGATAGCGAAAACATTTCTGAATTAAAAACAGCACAGTGTCTACAGGTGAAGATTTTGTCTTTGAATAAATGTTCCCAAATTGGTGCTAAAAATGTTGCAAGTGAAACAGAAGATGGGACAAAACCATTTTCTTCACTATTTCACAGGCATGAAAAAGTTGTCTCACTAATTGGGAGTTTTGATTTCGGGAAAGGATTTACGTTTACCCTGAGTTTTTTTGTTTCTAAAGTTCTTAGATCAGTAACCTGACTAAGAATGTGCATGTCACATTAAATGGCATACCTGACCACCAAACATTCCTTAAGATTCTCCTGTTTATTCATAATGCTTAGTTCATGTATCAACACAGTTGCTGTTTCCAATATCAGGGTGTTCAAATAGATGCTAGAGGTCACATTATAGTTGATGAGTTCCAGAACACCAGCAGGAAAGGGATTTACGCCCTCGGGGATGTCTGTGGAAAAGCTCTTCTTACACCAGGTAACGTGCGTATATTGTATTTGATTATGGAGCCCCCTGTACATAAAGTATGTTCACTTACATTATACTATTTAGCCCGATGTGGTGATGGCAGAGAGAAGAAGAAACAGCTTTTATCTGAATGAGAATGAAAAATGGAACCTGACAAACAAGTAGAAATCTCTTCCCTTTCTCCTATTTAAAGTCTGTGTATAGGGGAAAATCCACCTCACCTGTTCCAGTCAGTTCCCCTGAGATGGTATGTTATACCTTCTAGCTCTTCTCCTGCCATTGGATCTTTTGACAGCCACCTGGGATGCCATGCTACAGAAGTCGGGACATCTCAAGTCAGGCACATGTTAAAAATCAATGCAATAGGACTTAGTTTTGCATTAAGATATTATACCTGTCCCAGAGCGTCCTTGCACATTTTTGTGGTGTCACCTCTTCCTAGTTTTTTTTTTTAAGATGTCCTTTCCTGTTGTTATTGTGTGACTAATATTGAAACGAGCATGTGCACTAAAACAAGTTAATTACCAAACACATGCTCTCTTTTTGTTTTGACTGACATTCCATTTGCCCCTACATAAATTACCTCTACAAAACCACTGCTACTGCTACCGCTTCTGTCCTGTAAGAGCCACAGCTGCTACTGGCTTTCTCTCTTCTTCTGCCACCCTAGGCTAACAATTTTTATGCTCTGCCTCTGGGGAAGGAAACAAAACGAGCTGCAGCTGTAGGTAAGGTAAGGTGAGGAAGTGGAGGGATAGTGAGAAGAGCTGGGGGAGCAGGAGACTTGTAGTCCATATTAGACAGTGAGAAGAATAGGAGAGGGGCAGAGCATGTATGCAAAGGAGCTGTACAGAATGGATACCCTATGAGTTATACAGATTAGTAGTTATATTGGAGTACTAATATTTTATTTTATGTATTAGTTTTTTTTCTCTCTATCTGACAGTCACAGAGCAGCTAACACTGAACAAACAAGCCACAGATAGGATTCCTCAAACACCACCAAAAAAACTGATACCTTTAACTCCCTTCCTTCCCCCAGCCACCACTCCTCCCTGCCCAAACCCCAACACAAGCAAACCCTCGTACCAATTCTAAACCACCACTCACATATAGATACAAAATACAATAATCTCTTTCTACTTTCTCCCAATATGCCTTGAAAGCCTGAACCTCCTATGGCACAAAAGGGCTGTTTACTGTCACTTCCCTCTTCCCCCCCCCCCCCCCCCCCAATCCACCAAAAACACCAAATTCCTTCCCCTCCCCCCAACTAACAAAACAAATTCCCAAGAACCCTAACAAAGAAGTAAAAGAAAGAAAGGCCCTGTAGTACCCAAGTCCTGTGCAATCTCACTTCAGAGGGAAAAAATATGAGAGAGAGATGTTTTAATGGCAAATAAGTTTGCAGAAGAGATGGGGAAGGAATGACTTGCTTATTGAAAATTGTGGTGAAACCCCATCCTGGTCTTGCCTGTATTTGTACCAAACTGATGCAATATAGCTGTCACCGTGACTTGTAATACAACAAACAACATAATTATTTTTATGCGGATGACTTGCATTCTGAGGTTCAAAGAACAAGCTTTAAGCAGGAAAACACTTTCTGGAGGCACTGCACACAAACAGTGAACCATCCTGTTTTGGATGTGATTAACTACATTGCAAAGTCTGGAAGGAAAACTTTCCTACTGGAGACATGTCTCAGGTATTTTGCAAGATTTTCAGGTACAGGTATATCAGCAAAAGTTGCTAGTGTGGGTCAAGTCACACCTATGTAATTGCATTGGCCCTGAACCACCATAAATTATCCCACAAACACCGTTATACTGGTATAACTGCCTTTAGAGGAGGTCTTTATAGTGGCATAGTTATGTACATAAAAACAAAAATGTATTGTGTTCCTAACCTACATGGCTCTACTCGTATCACGTAAGCATTGACCACACCAAAATCCTATTTTCCCAAGTAGTTTTGCAAGTTAGGCTTCTAAGTCTCATAAAATCAACACAAGTTACTTACTGATGAGGAAAGAATGACTTCCTTATTGAAAATAGTGGTGAAACTCCATCCCGGTCTTACCTTTTGTAATTGTATTTGTACCAAACTGATGCAATATAGCTTTCCCCTTAAGTTATAATCCTCCTGTGCTTTTATCTTCCACAGTCCAGCCCAGCATGAAAATAGGGGCTTTGTTGCATGTTAATTTTAGGTAGCTGGATTGTCCATGTATTAACACACGAGACTAGTTTTTAACACCTGTTTTAGGAGGGCTAAAGTTATACCAATCCATGGCAGGTTTATCTCTGATCCATGTTACCCAGCTTGTGGTACACTAATGTATGGCTGTCCTAGGCTACATGTTAATGTAAACACCTCACCTGTCCCCTGCCCTCTGGCTTACTTATGGCTGCTGGTGCAGTCCCAGGGGAGTAAATAGGGAAGGGGAACCTGCCTGCCCAGCTGCTGTTGCCACTGCCACTCTCTGGGCTGGGTTCACCCCAGAGAAGAGCAGCAGCAGCCAGACAGCCAGGTCCCATTCCCTGCCTGCTCCCCAGGACAGTACTGGCAGCCACAAGCAAGCCGGGGGCAGGGTAGGAGCTCAGGGTGGGGGGCAAGGAACAGTGGGGAAGCCTGGAAGGAAACGGGAGGAGGTGCTGTTTATTGTGTTTTAGTCCTCCAGGCCCCTGCATGTAACTGCTCCAAACTCAAGCTAACAGTAACACTGATCAGCACTGGGTAGTTCAAAGTGCAATGTGTAACCAGGCCTTAAGGCTGGAGCCTCTTCTGACATTAGATACAAATACTTACTGGGTACATAACTGATTTTATTCTGTACTGCCCATAGTGGTGTTTGTAATAGACTGTTAGCCTGAATTTTTGTTTCCTTACTTACAGTTGCAATAGCAGCTGGAAGAAAATTGGCTCATCGACTTTTTGAAGGCAAGAAGGATTCCAAGCTTGACTACAGCAACATTCCTACTGTGGTTTTCAGTCATCCACCCATTGGAACGGTGGGTCTCACAGAAGGTAAGTCCCAGCTGAAGCCACTGCTCCAGTTTGTCCTTAATATTCCTTATATTGGTCAGTGTTAGCTCCGATAACTGACAGAATAACTTGGTGTTAAATAAGATCTGTTTTAAGGGTTCAGGGAGATAACAAGAGATGACAACCCTTTACCTCTATGTAGCTGTTCTTTGACACTGTTTGACTTCTCTGGAATGAGTTGATGACCTCAGTTCAGTTAGTGCTATGTTTCAGTCTACCCTTATAATTTGCTGTTAATTGATGTTTGATCAGTCTCAGCAGAGATGTGACACTTTCTACTCGCCCTCCCAGGCAGGCCCTCCACGTAGGGAAGAGGGTATGCCATGACGTCAACTTGTCCAGCTGCGTGTCTAAGGGCCAACCCCTACTGCCTTTACTAGGCTTTGGATCATATCTAAATTGTATGCTATTGAGTGTCCTATCTCACAGCGGTGTGCTGTGAAATTGATTTCTTACTTGAACATGCTTGTTTCTGTATGAGGGAGAGGAGTTTTGGTTCCTTCCTTGGGAGGCAGTTGTTACTGAGCAGTTGGGTGTCATTTGTACTTTATCTAATATTGTTCAGGCTGGCATTTAAATTACATTAAGCTAAAAATATGTTAAAATTTAGTGTACTTTTCAGTAACATAGGGCAAACTACATTACAGGGATTTTGGAGCTATCCCATCCAGGACATTCGTACACAATGGTAAATTTAAATTCAACCAAGAAATACAATCTTCACTCTGGGGGGATGGGGGGGGGGAGG